GGAGAGGGAGGGAGGAATCAAAAAGAAGGCAAGTTGCTCTGGAAAAGCTGTCCTGCGTTGGCANTGAGTAGAGGGAGGGAGGAATCAAAAAGAAGGCAAGTTGCTCTGGAAAAGCTGTCCTGCGTTGGCACTCAAATGGGGGTCCTTTTCAAAAGAGGCCGGGAGTCTGGGTTGGCTACAGAAAGAGGAGTACTGAAAACCTATGTAATCTGCTGGTGTCACAAATTTAAAAAAAAAAAAAGATAGTCCCCATCAAATGGATGTATGGCAATAGGACGAGTAGCAGAGTGGGAGTTAAAAGACCCTGGGCTCAAGGCCTGGCTCTGCCCTTAATATGCTAGGTGTCCTTTACAAGTTATGTCCCCCTCTTAGCATCTCCCTCTCCTCATTTGTAAAAAGAGAAGTTAGACCCTCTTGGCCCTATACTTCTAATGACCTTGGGCAATTCGTTGCCCTCCTCTGGAGCTCAGTTTCCTCATCTGTAAAATGGGAAGGAACCCCCACCCACCCACCCTGAGGGTCACAAGAGGGAGCCGCTGACTGCTTGGGGATGCAATTTCCAAAGTTCTGTATACCTGCAAGATGATTATCGTCATTCCCCAAAGAAGCAGTCGTGGAACGGGAACCTGGACTCCAGCTCGTCAGAGCTGGAAAGGACCTTGGGGCCCGATCACCTTGTTTGACAGAAGAGGCAATCCAGTGCCCGGAGAGAGGAAGGCACAGGAATTTCCCAAAGTCAAAGAGCATAAAGTGGCAGAGCCAAGACCAGGGAGTCCCAGCCCGGGGCTCCTCCTCCCTGCCGCTAGCGCACGCCGGGCAGAGTCGGAGGCGGAGCCAGAGAGTTTCCGGGGTGGACCAGGGCGTTTCGCTGAGCGGATCTGAGACAGGCTCCAAGCCTAGCCAAGGAACCGAGGCAGTGGGGGTGGGGCAACAGAGGCCTCCCGCTGTGCTGGGCTTCCGGAGTGCGAGACAGACTCGGGAAGGCGGGTGGCTCTCGCTTAGCAGAGAGATCTTGGCAGTTTCCTGGACGGCCACGTGACGGCGGCGGCTGCTCAGGGCCGGCCTGGGATCAGACAGTGAGGCTTCTCTGCCCCCACCGCAGGTGGCCCGGAGCTGCCGCCCGGGGGCAGGGGACTGGACCTTTGGAGGAGGCGTCCCATCCACCTGGTGGAGCAGGTGTGCACATGCAGGCCCTCTGTGCATCCCCCCTTTCCTCTGCCTGCCCACTCCGTGCTGCGGCCTCTTTCTCTCCTCTTCTTTTACTCTTTTTAAAAATGTTCCTATTTCATTGTTATGCAGGAAAAACTTGAGAGCTGAAGTCCGGATTGTGCAAACTGTTTGCTTTGTGACCTTGGGCAAGTCCCATTGTCCCTGTGTATCTCAGTTTCCACCTCTGTATACTGAGGTTGGCCTAGTTCCCTCTGAAAGCCCTTCTAGCTGTGAAGATCTGAGTCCACATCCCATGGACTCCAATTCCCTCATCTGTAAAATGGAGTTCATAACAGCACCTACCTCATGGGGTTGTTGTGGAAAGAGCAATTGTTTTCATCCACAAACACTCTATATGGGTCAGTCTCTTGCAGCCTTTACATACTACCGCCCCCTTCCCCACTACCCCCTCTAAAACACAAACCCTGGGTCCTGATGTCACCTTGTGAAATCATTTACCATTTACATTCTTTTTTTAGCAACTAACCTTGTCTATCCTCACCTTCTACATCCCCCTCTTGCACCAGCTTCCAAGTTGGGAGTCCAGCCTTTTTCATTGTTGTATCCACTCACCTGACGTCTGGGCAGAGGCTGAGACAAGGTTAAAGTCCAGGCTAGAATCACATAGCTGCAAGTGTCCCTAGAAGAAAGAATTTCAGAATTGTAGTGTATTACCAGACTGTCCCCTCACCCAAAGCTTGCATATTTCTGTGGTTGCACCAAAAGTGTAATACAGTGTCAGCTTCCAGGAAATTCTGCCAACACACCACCTACCTGCAATAGGCTCGATTGCCTCTAAATGTAGCTTCAGACTTCTACTCTCTCTATTTTCCAATCAGACTCATTTTTCTTATACATAGATCTTATCACATCACTCCTCTACTCAAAAACCCTCAGTGGCTCACTGTTGCCTAATGAGTCAAGTTCAGATTCCTATGCCTGGCCTCAGTCTACACTGCCAGCCTTGTCTCACACTTACTCTCACTATACCATTCTCCACAGTGCCTATACCATACCTCCTCTCTTCTTAAGCCATGGCACCCCTCCCCCTTCTCTACTGGAGATCTCACCTCCTACTTCACTGAAAAAACTGAAGCCATTCATCAGGTGCTCCCTCTTCTCCCATTGTCTCTGCATTCCCTCATATCTCCGAGGACGAGGTGACCCTTCTTGCCAAGGTGGTCCCATGTACCCTTGATCCCACCCTGTTCCAGAGACTGTCCCCATTCTTATCCCAACTCTATTGCCACCTGTTCCTTCTCTGATGGCTAAATAAATCCATGTCCCCCCATTCTTAAAAAAAAAATTCCTTGTTCCCACCACCTCTACTAGCTATCATCCTATACCTTTCATCCCCTTCTTGGCTAAATCCCTTGAGAAAGCCACCTTCATTTGGTAATTCCACTTGCTGTCCTCTCACTCAATTCTAAATCTAGCACTGACACCCCAAGGCTCAAGAGTGACCTTTTGGGACCCAGATTAATTCTATAACTGAGCTCACTCTCCCCAGAGACCAAAGTGAATAGAGGAGAGGGTTTCCCCAAGATGTTGGAGGGGGGAAAATGTACTTTTTTTTCCTTGCTATGTCTTCAAAGTAAATATCCTTTTGTAAAAACTAATTGATGTTAACTGGTAATTGGAACTGGTTAATAGTCACTGATGGCTAACATGGGGGGGGAACCCAACTTTAAACCTCCTCCATCTCTCTACCCCCCACCTACCCCAAGCACAGGACTCTGCATGTACTAGGTGCTTAATGAATGGTTTTTAATGGAATAGAATAGAATATAGGCTCCTGTCTAATAATCAGAGGACTTAATTTCAGATCCCATTTCAGCTACTTCCTATCTGTGTGACCTTGGACAAGTCATTCGATGTTTCTGGGCCTCAGTTTCTTCATCTATAAAATTAAAGGAGATGGATGAATCTGAAGTGTCAAACAGGTTGCCCAAATTCTAGTAACTAGAACCAGATTAAAATGTAATTGGGAAATATTTAACAAAATAAATAAAAATACAATAGAACATTTCTATTGTTGTTGTTCAGTCCTTTTACTTCAAGACTCCATTTGGGGTTTTCTTGGCAAAGATACTGGAGTGGTTTGTCATTTCCTTCTCTGGCTCATTTTTACAGATGAAGAGACTGAGGCACACAGGGTTCAGTGACTTGCCCAGAGTCACACAACCTGCAAATGTCTGAGGCCAGATTTGAACTCAGGAAGATAAGTCTGCCAGACTCCAGGCCTGGCGCTGTATCCACTGCACCACCTAGCTGCCCCCAATAGAACATAGATGATGTTACTATGGAGTTTTCTGTCAATATGCATGGATGGCTTAGTGGTCCCCTGTTTCTAGTTGAGTTTGATAGCCCTGGGCTAAATGACCTCCAAGTTCACTCACACCTCTAAATCTGTCATGGTATGAGCCTGTGATCTACCCATTCTTGCCAATTATTAGCATAATTTGGTACCACAAAGTCATGCCAATTTGCATTTATCTTATTATTAGAGAGTTTTGGTTCCCCTTAAGGTGATTACTAACCATCCGTATTTCGTCCTGGAACAAATATCTGCTAATATCTCCTACGTGCAGGTGTGCTGGGACCTCCTCTCTTCTCTTTCTCTACACACCCTCTTTCTCTTGGTGACCTCATCAGCTCCCATGGGTCCAATTACCATCTCTGTGCATATTATTCCCAGATCCATATATCTAGCCCTAATCTCTCTCCTGAGTTCCATCACTGACTACTTATGGTACCCCTCTACCTGGATGTCCCACAGGCATCTCAAACCCAACACATCCAAGACAGAACTCATTATCTTTGTCTGGCCCCTCCCTTTCTCTTGTGGACCTTTATAGCCAATCACCCTCTCCTCTTCATTCTCGGTTGCCAAGTCTTGTTGATTCTCCTTCCACATCTCCCACATCCCTCGCCTTCACTCACACCACAACCATTGTGGTTCAGGTTCTCATCAGCTTTTAATTGGACTGTTGCATTTGGTTCCTAATTGGTCTCCCTGCCTTCCATTTCCCAATAGCCCTTTCCAGTCCCCCTCAATGCTGGTGCTTTCCCTCTGAGATTTTTTCCAATTTACCCCGTGTAGAGCTTGTTTTTACACAGTGTTTGCACGTTGTCCCCTCTATTAGACTGTAACTTTGTTGAGGATGAGGACTGTCATTTGCCTTTCTTACCAGCAGTTAGCATGGTCCTTGGCACATATAAATGCTTATTGCCTTGACGACTTCCCTCATGCATACAGCTGCCAAAGTGACATTCTTAAAGCACAGGCCTATTCATGTCATTCCAGCATTCAAGAAGTGGTTTCCAGTTGCCTCTAGGATAAAATACAGACTCCTCTGTTTGGCCTTTAAAGCCCTTCACAGTGTGGCTCCAGTGGACCTTTCTAGGCTGATGACATGTTCTCCCACCTTTGCACAGGCTGTTCCCTATGCCTGGAGTACATTCCTTCTTTGCCTCTGACTCTGAGCACCTTTTGCCTCCTTTAAGCTTCAGGTCAATGGCTGCCTCCTACATGAGGCCTGGTGCTGCAGCCAGGCTTCAGTCTTCTACCTCATCCTTCTTGGACTTCTTTGAAGCCTCTGATACAGCTGAACCTCTTTCTGTGTCCTCTTCCTGCCTGCATGACCACACCTCTGTTTCCTTTGCTGGATCACCATCCAGGGCATGCCCCCTAACTGCATGTATTCCCTTAAGGCTCTGCCTAGAGCCCTTCTCCATTTTTTCTTGACAGCTCTCCTTTGGTCACCTTATCTGTTCTCATGGCTTAAATGCTCACCTCAGTGCAGATGATGGCATGTCCTCTCTCTGTGCCTCTGGCTGTTCTCCTTGAGTAGAGTTCATTCCCTTCTCCCCTCCACCTCTTGGAGTCCTTGACTCCCTTCTTGACTGAGCTCCCGAGGGCCACCTCCTGCATGAGATCCTGTCTGGTTCCCTGCCTTCCCCCAGCTTCACCTCGTATCTGTTTCGTATGTGCTTAGTGTACGCTGTCTCCCCTACCTGAGTGTAGGCTTCTCAAGGGCAGGGGCGATTTCATTTTTGTCTCTCTATTCCTAGCCCTAAGCCCAGTGCCTGACTTCTAGTAGGCATTTCATAAATACCTGTTGGCTGGTTAGTGTAGTCTTTTCCTCCCCTCCCCCCTTAAAAATTATTTTATATTTATTTATGTTCATATTGTTTCCCCACCAGACTATAACACTCTTGAGAGCAGGGATTGCTTTACATTTGTCCTTATATTGCCAGCCCATAGCACAATGTGGTGGCTTAAGCACATACTAGTGACTTTAAAAATGCTCCCTGGGGCAGCGAGGTGGTGCAGTAAATAGAGCTTTGGCCTTGGAATCAAGAGAACCTGAGTTCAAATCCAGCCTCAGACACATGACACTTACTAGCTGTGTGACCCTGGGCAAGTCACTTAACCCCGACTGCCTCACTGGAAAAAAAAACGCTCCCTGAATGAATGAAGGATTCTCTGATCACTATAGAACAAGACTTACTCCTATGGGTTGTCTCTCTCCACTCCTGTCAGTTTATGAATATCAAGTCTGGTATTTGGTTCCAGAAGCTGCTAGCTTGTTTCAATTGATCACTGCAAGATTCCAGGCCTGTGTAGACACACGCTATGGGTAAACATGTTGCAGAATCACAAAATGTCAGAGAGAGATCTCAGAGATTATGTCAGAGTCTAGCTCTTTTGTTATTAAAAAAAAAAAAAGCCCAGGAAGAGGATGGAACTTGTCCAATTTCAAATCAGGAACTTATCTCTCTCTCTC